GCATTAGACGGACTAGAAACCAACGTGTTAGACGTTGAAGCAATATTAGTATTTGATAATGTCGGTGATGGTTCTTCAAAGATGGGTGGAGAAGTGTTAGAGGGTGGGGTAGAAGGTAGAATATTATCATTAATACCATGGTTTGCCTGGGAGGACATACCAACTGTGGAGATCGTCAACCAAGGATGTGATGGTGAGGGTATTTCAGAAGGGTAGGAACTAAGTGTGGCGAGTGGAAAAATATTTTCGATAAAATGAGCATGTCTTGCAATATACATGTGTCTAGTTTTGTAATCTAAACAACGATAACCAACATGCAATGGACTATATCCTAAGAACACACATTGAGTAGAATTAAGTGAAAACTTATGCGAATTGTATAGCCTTAATAAAGGGAAAACAACACAACCAAATATTTTTAAAAACTTGTAATCCGGTTCTTGATGGAAAAGTGTTTGAAAAGGTGAGATATTATTTAAGAGTGGTGTAGGTAATCTATTAAAAGGTAAATTGTAGTTTCAAAAGCATAATGTAATACTTAAGTGGAAGAGATGTATGTGCCAATAATGTAAGGCCGGTATCAACAATATGACGAATTTTTCACTCAGCTACTCTATTCTGCTCGTGAGTGTGTGGACATGCTACATGATGGAGAATTCCATTGTTTGAAAAAATTTTATTCAGGGTTCTGTATTCCCCACCCCACAAACATCAATCAAGGCTCCTCCTGTCACAACAGAAGTATGTTGCAGATCTTCTCCACCGAACCAGAATGGACGGTATTAAACCGATTCACACGCCCATGGCTACAAATACCAATTTAATCAATCAGGGTAAGTGTGACAATACCAACTCGAGCGTGACGTCCCAGGCCATCATAAAAACTATGCGGCTTAATTATGTAATTTGAGTAAAAACGTAAACAGAACACAAAAATGTAAATCAGAGATAACAAAAGAAATATAATAGACAGCTCTTATTTATCTTCTTTTTTTCTTTAGATGATTAGTACATTTACATCACAAAGGAAATGACCACTGGAAAAGCAAGGATCTAGTCTACTCCTTCTACCAACTACAAAACGTCACATCCACGCCTGTCTTAAAGCTGCCATGCAAAAGCCCTAGGAGACTACCCGCCAGCGACCATGATGCAGCTCAAACAAAAAGGGGCTGCTGCATCAACACCTGGCCTGATCAACCACCAGCCGCGAACCTCCTCACACTCTCACAAGGAAAGAGGACAGGTCCAAACAGGTGACCAACTATGCGGAAGTAGTCCGATACGAAATGAAACATCATCCATACTAAGGGGATAAAGAAGTCGACCTAGACAATGGTCGAGCAGTGTTCCCACACCACTTTAGGTACAACGGGATCGGGACGCTCAACGAACGATCCCTCGATAACTAGTACTAAACCATATGTGGAGATAGGTGTCACGAGCCGACGGTTCCTTGGCCGCGGAATAGCCCGTGCGGCGCCTGGCGCGCCGAACGCACCAGGCCAGCCATCGTTCACTAGCTGTTCCCAAGAGCAACACGGCGAATGTCTTCTTCGTATCGAATCATACCACGCCCAGTTTGGCTCGGGCGTCTAGTCCATCGAGCGAGACACACATAATACTTTCGGTACGACAACTGGTTTCGGCCTGCCATGGCTTCATCAGGAGAGCGGCATCAGCTCCCGACCAGTTTGTGTACGGGAGGCCAAACCCGCCTTCAGAGCTCCTACGATATATTCGTTCTATCCTAGAACTCCTAGCACCAACCGTCCTGATGCCACTCCCACAACCCAGTTATACTTCATCCCTTATGCGTCCTTACTCTTCACCCGATAACCCCGAGCATCACTCACAAGGGTACAAGAGTACGAGAGAATCACGGTCCGTGACATTCTCCCCCACTCAATTCCGCAACGCCCTCGTTCCGATCTATTTTGTCGCTTCCTTGCGTCAATTCTCACCATCAATGCCGCTGTGGGGACTTACACGAGTGGTGGACGCTCGCCCAACAAAACAACTTCTCTCCACCGGTGGCTTTCTTGATCAGAGCCGTTCAGCACTTTGCTTACTTTGGAATTCTCATGATCTCGGCAGACCAATGGAGGTTTTTCCCCTTGTTGATAACGTGATAGTAGACCCATCTTCAGACTCGCCAAATCGATCCAGGAACGTTTTCCCTATTCAGTAAGGAATCAGTTCTTTTCCCGTGCCCCTGTTCATCCTAGGAGCAAGTTGAGAGCCGCACTTTGTCCGAGCATTGGCTCCGGCGATTCACTCTCCGCCCTCGTAGGACCGAGTAGTCCACAGGTTTTCTGCAACTCACTCACTTACTGGAGGGATCCTGCTCTGATACCACTTGTCACGGGCCGACGGTTCCTTGGCCGCGGAATAGCCCGTGCGGCGCCTGGCGCGCCGAACGCACCAGGCGAGCCATCGTTCACTAGCTATTCCCAAGAGCAACACGGCGAATGTCTTCTTCGTATCGAATCATACCACGCCCAGTTTGGCTCGGGCGTCTAGTCCATCGAGCGAGACACACAATACTTTCGGTACGACAACTAGTTTCGGCCTGCCATGGCCTTATCAGGAGAGCGGCATCAGCTCCCGACCAGTTTATGCAAGGGAGGCCAAACCCGCCTTCAGAGCTCCTACGGTATATTCGTTCTATCCTAGAACTCCTAGCACCAACCGTCTTGATGCCACTCCCACGACCCAGTTATACTTCATCCCTTCTGCGTCCTTACTCTTCACCCAATAACCCCGAGCATCACTCACAAGGGTACAAGAGTACGAGAGAATCACGGTCCGTGACATAGGCTAGTGGGTGGATGGAACGCCATGCTAACGGTCTGAAAAACATGGAAAGCAATAATAGTGAGATAAACTCAGCAAGTAAATCAAGCCATGACTATTCTATTCAAACAGTTATATCACGATTAAAGAGTCTACCACAAGATCATTGATTTCCATCATGAATATGAATAATGATAATATGTATATGAGAATGCATATGATACGCCCATGAATTCCCCGCGAATGCCACTTTCAATCGTAACCATCGATTTTAAGAACTGATCTTCTGCAGACCACATAGCAGCAAGCGTCTAGCTCCTACTTCGAGGTTATGCGACTTACTTGCACATCTATCACCGAGACCACATAGCACGGTCTTAAGATATAACGGCCTTGAGCTTCCCAGATTCTCTCGCTGGCTCCCACGGGGCATCACTGGTACTCCAGCCGATGGTCCTCACTGTAATCCTCACAATACAATGTATATGGATGAAATGACGGAAATGCAACATGTTAACTTCAATACTCAATAATTATTATATCGATATTGTAAATAAGATACGATCGACGATAATCGAAATAATCATTATGCAGAGCGTCCATGGTTGCACCACCAGCCACACCATTTCAATCGCGTCACCATCAAAATTTTTTGATGTTCACCACATCATTGAGTTCATCACAACTAAGTCACGAGATATATTGAAAATTGTAAAAGGCATGTAAGCAATAAAAGCTAGCCATGCAAAGCAAATCACATTCGTCATTCCCATACAAAACCACTACACGACCTCATCATGCCGATTTAACTACGAAACAGTATTTTCACTTCCTGCAAATTAGCATCAGCCAAATCATCAACATGAATGGCTATCATCGGAATTTCCGAACCGATGAAAAATCACATTTTTCCACTATCTTTAAAACAAATAACCTCGTTGTCACAAAACCACTTCATTTCGAGGCTTCCACCAACGTTCACGAGTTTCGCGCGACTACCGGTCGGCTTTACGTACAACATACATTCCAAGCTCCACCTCTAATCATAATATAAAGGATTGAAATGAAGAGAAATGGCGAGAATACTCGCCTTAGATACGATCGTAAAGCTTCGTCCTTTGCCTTTCTCGAGGTACGTCGAAACTCAAGTTTCAACGGAGAGGAAACCAGCGAGATCTGAAGAAGACAAACGATGAGGAAACGAGAGTAAAGAGAGAGCACAATGGAGAGAGGCAGTTCGGTCGGTGGAGGAGAAGAAATGAAAGAGAAAGAGAAAAAGAAGAAAGATAGAAAGAAGAAAGCCATAAAGTCAAGACTCATCATCATTCTCAATTGATGCAACTCAAAATATTATCTAATACAACATATGGACTTCAAAGATTATCAATTGAGACAAGACAAAAGAAATGAAGGGGAAGAGGGAGAGAGGTCGGCGTGAGAGAGAGAAAGAGAGAAGAAAAGAGAAGAAAGACCTTAGCTCAAAAGTTATCATTGCTCACACATAATTGGACTCAAAGCTTCTTCAATAAAGCAAGATAATAATCGAAGAAAAAGAAGAGAGATGAGGTCCGGCCGTGTAAAAGGGAGAAGAGAGAGAGAGTGTGACATCCTCATTCTAACACCAATTAATTACGCAATATTGAATTTATTCGGACTCGTTAGGCGCCAATCAAGAAGGTAAGGCCATCCTATCATATTGGACCTTGATTTAATTATTTGAATGTTGCACATTAATGTACAATGTGCTTGATTGGTATCCTATGATTGATTAACCTGTAGTTTTCATTTGTGTGCAATTTCTAGAAGTCTTGATGGAGATGAGACAAACTTTTGGTCTTATCATAGTGGCTTGGGAGCCACTTTTGGGGGGAAAAAGATATGAGGACCAACTTGGTTAAGCTTCTAGAATTGTTATCCCATAAGCCTCTTGCATGTGCCTAATTCTAGTAGGTATGATTACCTTAGGAGGGGAGACTTGATGGAGATATTTTTAAAGGCTAGGCTAGCCTAAGCCTAGAGCATTTGAGTGAAAGTGCATTATTGGACTCTCTCTCTCTCTTGTAAGATCACTCAAGGATAACACTCTCATTTTTCACTCTCATTTCTCTCATTTTCTCTCTTCCTCTCCCTCTCTTCTCTCCCTTACTCACGCCACCACCATCGCCGGCCACCATCGCCACCACCGCTCATCGCCACCAGCACCGCCGGCCATCACCACCACCATGCCACACCGTTCGTCCGCTCACCACCCCGCCGCTCGTCGTCTTGTCGCCGTTCACGCCGTGCCGAGCCGCTCAACGCTCACTGCATGATGATTGGACCTGGTGGAATGAGTTCCAATGGTTTAGTAAGTGGTTTCTCTAAACCTTGGCTAGGGCGTTCTTCTATGCATATCGGCCGTAGATTAGTCTTGGTTGAACTTGATTCCTCGTATGTGTTTATGGATGTTCAAGTGGCTGTTGCATGATGATTGGACCTAGTGGAATGAGTTTTGTGGGCTAAAGATTGGTGGGTATCAACTAGGGCTTAATCTTTGAAGTTTGGTTTGAAACTCAGATTTGTTATTACAGTACCTTTTCGGCTTACTATTTTTGTAGAGACCTTTGTGGGCCGAATCTGAAGTAGTGTTCTTCACAAAACTTATTCCTCACATCTTGAAATTTAACATATTTTAAATCTGGAATTTTTGGAGGTTATTTGGGTCTCACGAAAGCCCATCTTCATACAGTGTTTAAACTGCCTAGAATGCTATTTCTCTGACCTTCTTGTCTTTCTGAATTTTTATAAATTTTTTCAGATCTATTTTCGACAAGCTTCCTTCATAAAAGTTGTTAAGGACTTTTCTGTCTATAATATATAAAAATTTTGAAGCTTTTTAAGGTGATTTTGGTACTGAAATAGATGTATTTTGAGGACCGAGTAGTCTGTTCGAACGAGCTGATTTGGGTCTGACTTTGAGTGAAAAAAATACATGATTGCAGATTGAAATGGGTTTTGTGTTCTTCATAAGAAATGTTTTATCAAGTGTTTTATATGACATATCCAAAATTTAGAATTTTTGGAGTTCATTTACTATTTATTTTGGAAGGATTTCGGTTACTGTGCAATCTGCCCAGGTTTATCCCAATTTCATATATGCACTATTTTCTTTAACGTGCGATTACTCTAGTACATTTTATGTGTGCGGAATTTAAATGTTCTAAGTGCATGAGCATGAAACACTCTTGCATTAGCCTAAGTGGAAGATAATAATTGGCTTCAGTGATTGATGTACTTGCTTGATCACATAAATGGTTCCGTACTCGTATAATTGCGTGGGGCGATGCCCGATGGATTTCGGTTGCCATTCGCGATGAAGGTCGGAACAATGCTCTTAATTGAATGTTATCTTCGAGTGAGGTCAAGATGATACCGTGCCCGATAGGGCGGGACGATGCCCGGTTACGCCGAAAGTCCACCAACGCGAGTGTTGGTCGTGGCCCTAAGCAGTCGTAAAAATCGGAACATGTGTGGATGCATTGTGCATGAATTATGTGGCATGACATGTTCTTGATTAATATGCATGATTGTCGCATGTCAATTGAAAGCAAGACTTCACATGTGAATAGTTATGTGAATTTGATGTGCCGTCGGAAGGGAAGAAGTATGAGTGTTTGATTGATGGTTTTGTGGCATGCGAAGTTGATGAGTTACCCTTCATCTTTCCGAAGCAAGGTTTCATCCTACTCGAGGTTTAGCGGTTCTGCTTATTGAGATTTTCTCATTTGTCGTTGTTTACCTCTTTTCAGGCCCTTAGTATGGATACACGGATAGTATGTTTTGGGGTCCCGGTGGACCAAGACGTTGAGATAGTTGAGTACGTTGCACCGGAGATGGACACGACATACACGGAGTACGCGACTACCGTTTGGGTTGACGAGGGGCTTCCTAACTTAGTTCCTCATCGCTTCAAAGCGTGGTATGTGTGGTTCGGGGAGGAGCGTTGGGGACCTCTCCGGCGCTTTGACGGACTGCCGAGTGCGCCTGGTGCAATTTCGTGGGATGCTTCGGGGTCAAATGTCCCTGACGATCTCGTTAGTGATCCAGAGTCAAGCCCGAACTACAACCCCGTAGAGGAGCCATAGCATATCCGAGTATAAAGGAGTCGTGTCTTTGATAGAGGAGATTCCCCGACCCCTTTTGTTCAATTCGGATAAAGACCCGGAGTTACGGGTTTGTATTTTGCTAACATCCAATCGTCTTGATGAATATATATGTGAAGCATGCTTTTGGTGAATGTGTTTCCTATGCTATCCCTGTTGTGCTGTTTGGTTGGGTGATATTAGAATTTGCTTCCGCATGTGCTTACTCGTTAGTTAACGTGATGGGTCGGCGACACCTCCTGAGACATCGCAATTAAATGACCTATGTAAGAGGGGTGTCGCAAGTGAACCTAGGGGATTAGGGTGCGGGGTGTGATAGAGAGAGACTTTCTTGGCTAAGTAATCATCACAACTCAAATAATTTGACTCCAAATTATATCAAATAAAGATTATAAAGTGACGAGGAGAGAGAGAGACAAAAAGAATTTTGGTTTTGTCTCCTTGAATTGGACTTTTGGAGGAGATGTCAACTAAGAAGCAACAATCAAAGACAAAGAAGAAGGTTGGCAGCGCAAGAACAAAGAGAGGAAAGGGGTCGGCGGATTCCAAAGCAAAATAAAGTTTGACTTATAAATGGCCTTTTTTTCCAAAAATACCCCTGTAATTTCCAAAATTTACGATATTTCCACCGAGCCATTTTTACTTGCTAATAAACACCATGAGCCAAAAACGCAAGGCGCCACCATCACTAAGCCCTTTAGATTCCACGCCACATCAATAGAAATTATATAAAGCTCGTGCACCTCAAAATCACGATCATCGCAAGACCGATAATTCACAAAAGAAAGGTAGATAAAACCTGAATTAATCACCCAAAGACTATTCCTCAATAGCCATTAAGAAATAACATTTCCAAATGTTATTCTCTGCGCATTAAAATAGGTGAGCCTGAATCAAGATGTCACAGTAAGCCACTTGAAGATGCTACTTTGTATAGGAGTACCATAGGAGCTCTTCAGTATGTCACCCTGACTCGGCCAAATATCTCTTATGCGATAAACAAAGTCTGCCAGTTCTTGAAAGAACCAACAAGAGACCACTGGACTACGGTAAAGCGAATCCTACACTACTTAAAGGAAACCGTTTTCGCATGAATTGTTCATCAATTCCCACTCCACCACAGAACTCCACACACATAGTGATGCGGACTGGGCCGGTTGTCCCACTGATAGGCGCTCAACAGGAGGTTATGCAATTTATATAGATCAAAATCTAATTCCTTGGTTAGCCAAAAAGCAGCATACCATTGCACATTCCTCAACCGAATCTGAGTATCAGGTATTGGCAAACGCCACGGCAGAAGTGGTATGGTTGCAATCACTATTACAAGAATTAGGCATCTCTCAATAAAAACCTTCTATCCTTTGGTGCGACAACCTAGGGGCAACGTATCTTACGGTGAAGCCACTTTTTCATGCTAGAACAAAGCATATCGAGGTAGACTTTCACTTTGTCTACCATTTAGTGTCACAACGCAAACTTGAGGTTCGCTTCATATCCACACGTGACCAAATAGCGGATATCTTCACCAAGCCTCTTACAAGGTGTAGTCGTGATATGTTCAGATCCAAGTTGAAGATCATCCAAAAGACCACCTTCAACTTGCGGGGGCCTGTTAAGGATAACAATGCATGGCTCGCTCAAATTCAAAATATTTTGAATTAGTCCATTCTTATCTCAATTAATTATTACTATAGTTATTATTATAACAGATGTAGTTATTACTCTAGTTACTACTATAACGGACTAATTCAAAATTCAAAATATTTGAATTAGTCCATTCTTATCTCATGTAATTACTATAACAGCTAGAAGACAAACTTTATAAATACAAACGATATCCTAGAGTTAAAGGATAAGCGAAACTCAAGCTCAAACTTAGAGTATAATTCTTATAGGGCTATCATATGGTATTCCATGGTGTCCAATGATGAGTGCATAATATGAAACCGCTAGTCTGAGCTTTCTTTTTATGACTAAGGCTTTTACTTTGTTAATGGATCATGTTCTTCGTGTGTCTATATATATAAGATGTGGTCAGTTGATTGTAGTAACAAATGGTGGTCATTAAAAATGATGATTCACTACAATCTTTCCATTAATAATACAGGTGGAACTTAGATAGACACTGGAACCGACCCTGAACCTGTGACAAAGTAGGTTCCGATTCCAAGACATGCAGGATAGGTTCCAAATTCCAAGATATGCAGGGTTGGTTCCAAGTTCTAAAAAAATGAGGAACCTGTTCCCACAGGTTCCACTTGGAACTTATATGGAACTTGGAATCAGTCACCCCTACACGAAACATACGAATAAATACACCCTAGTTATTGCATTGTTTCTTGGGTAGCATTTAGTGATTGACCACTTGACAGGTTAGTATCTTTGAGCGGGGAGATCTCAATCCAAGTGATGTCACTGCAAAAAGAAAAAAGAAAAATTTTACGGTTCCCAGGTTGATCCCAAACAGGTTGATCGGGTTCGGGCCGATTCTAAGGTTAACAAGGTTAGTTCTCGGTTCCACAAATTGAAAATGAATCCTAACTAGGTAGATTCCAAGTTCTTGGGTGAGAATTGACCCATCTTGGAAATCATTCCTAACGTGATGGTGCGCGACGATGAGGCCCACATAAGAGATGGTGGCATGTGATTGGGCCGAGCAGTGGAGATGGTGTGAACATCACAACGACGTGGATTGCCTCGATGGTGGCCATGGGTGTTGAGAGGGAGAGAGAGAGAGGGCAATTTTTTTTCTTTTTTGATTTTTACTATGCATTAAGGGTTATGTATTGGTAATATTAGAATGCTAGTTAGCAGAGAAATGACTAAGAAAGTCAACATGTTTTTTCTCCAAAATCATCATAATAATTGCCCCAAGAACAAAGGGGTTAATACTACGAAAAACCCCAAACCGATACAAATGTGACAAATTTACCCCAAACTAATTTTTTAACCACCAAAACCCCAAACTGGTATACTTGTGACAAATTTATCCTCTTAGTTTTCGTTAAATTTTACCGTCAAATTGCTAAGTTGGATGATAAGTGGCAGTTGACGGGAGTTCCAGTTTGGTGTTTTACCGCTCTGTTTGTCATAAATTTACCAATTTGTGATTTTTCGTGGTATTAATCCAATTTAACATAAGGTAAATTTGTCACAAGTGTACCGATTTAAAGTTTTCAGTGGTCAAAAAATTAGTTTGAGGTAAATTGATCACAAATGTACCAGTTTGGGGCTTTTGGTTATTAAAAATTATTTCGGGGTAAATTTGTTACAAGTATACCAGCTTGGGGTTTTTTATGGTATTAACCCAAAAAAAAAAACATTCCGTTAATCATATGAAGATTTTCCAACCCATAAAGTGCTTCTTTTAATGTTTCAGATAATCTCTACCGTTGATTATGTAAATAAGGTATGTTTTAGACGGTTGGTATTAAGATCGTATTGTGAGATAAAGAATCAACATCCTTGTTCATCTATTTTCATTAAGCACAGAAGCGTGGTGCCATTACAACATTGCATTTGGTTTAACTTTTCCAAAATCCTTTGGCAATCCCTCGTGCCAATGTAGATACTACATGCTATGGCAAATAGAGAATATCACTTTCACACATTTTTTATGGAGTTGCATGACCAAATTGAGACAAATCAAAGAGTACCAACCACATTATTTTGTGGAGCGTTATTAAATCAAATTTTGCATCTATCATTATTTGGGAAAAGTATGAAAAAAAAGTCATAAATCTATTGCATTGGTACCAATTCAGTCTTCAATATTTCAATTAAACCAATTTAGTCCTAAACCTTTTCACATTGGTACCAATTCGGTCCATTCGACTAATTTAGGTCGGAAATTGCTAACGTGGATGTTGTCTGTCCTACGTAATGCGGTTAGCACTAATGTGGAAATTTTTTTATGATTTTTTAATAAATTTTCTAATTTTTTTATTAATTTTCTGAGAAAAATACCCTTCTTTTTTTTTTTCCTTTCCTTTTTTTTCTTTCCATTTTTTCCTTTTCTTCCGAATATGGCGAGGGCGACCCTCACTTGTGGCCGGTCGCCACCAGCCACAAGCCAAAGAAAAAGAAAAGGAAAAAATAAGAACAAAGTGAAAAAATTAATTGTAAATTATATATTTTATATAAAAAAAAATTGTCAACGTCAGTGCCGGCCGTTTCACATAGGATGGTTGGTGTCCACATCAACAATTTCTGGCCTAACTTGGCCGGATGGATTGAATTGGTACAAATGTAAAAAGATTTAAGATTAAATTAGTCCAAATGAAAGTTTTAGGATTGATTTGGTATCAATGCGATAGGTTTAAGACTTTCTTGGTGCTTTTTCCAACATCATTCTTGTTTTGAGATACTTGTGCCTTTTCAAGGTGGAACATTAACCACAGCATCCGAATATCACAAGTATTTAGTTTATGAATTAACTCATCGCTTGCTTTCGGTATAGAATAGGTTAAGAACGGAATTACTACTTTCATGAATCGAATAAAAAGTACCAATTTGGGTTATAGAGAGCACGCTCAACTAATTGTCCAAGCTTGAGAGGCAAAGGACGGACGGGAGGGGTACTGGCAAGGGCTCCATATCGAAACGCCTTGCCCGCCAATCATACATTCGAATGTACATTTTAGATTACGGCAGGCTTGGGAACAAATTAGGCACGTATTTCAAGTTGGTTTAGCTGGACTCTCTCCCAATGATCAATTCTAAATTTTGTTCCTCCATGTAAAGTAACTTCCCTTGCTTGATTAGGCAATGAATCTAGATTTTAATAGAAACTAATTTAATGTGCGTGATTCATCTATATATAGTTTCTGCAGTAATTCCTATCACGATGACGTCTTTGAATCATCTAATAACGAAAAACCGCAACCCTAACGCTTAACGGATTGTTAGTAAATATAACTGGAGATGGGTTTTAGCAATTACGGAAAAGAGCAAATTGAATTGGAGTTAGACAACTAAAGAACGACCGTTGTTCTTATTGTTTCATTTGGAAAGAAGATCCGATGCATCATAAAAGCAATGTAGTATCACAGTATCGAAGTTAAGAGAATCCAATAATCAATTAACTTAACTATTCGAAAAAAAAAGATTAAGACCCAATTAAATTATAAAGACAATTATTTATTCGATTCATGAACACATTAAAGACCCTACAACAACATAAAATCCACCACAACTTAAATCATGAACACATTAATTATTTATTCAACTTGCTAACGTTTGACCAAAAGAAAAAACTTGCTAATGAACTTATAGCTTGAGGGTCAAATCTAGTTCTCCATGGTCAGTCTTTGGCCGAACATCCCTCTTCCCTGGTAGGACATGACGATTGCCACTGCTGCCGCCGCCTCCGCAGCTGCTGCCCCCGCCATTAGCGACCGTATTCATTGGCACATTCGGGCTGGGAATGCTTGAAGGACCTTTAAAGCTGTGCATCACTGCACCACCCCCCTGTTGGGGATGATCAAATGCTGGAGGAGGAAGAAATTGGCCCACAAATCCACCATTGTTGACATTATTATTGCAATTAGTAGGAACATAAGGCATGCCGTCCATCCTTGGTGGGGGTGAGGCCATCATCGGCGGATGCCCGGGCTGGCTCCATGATGGTTGGACCCTTTGGACCATGGGCTGATCCATCCCCATGCCGGGCGGGGCCAGTCGGTTGAGTGGCCCGAAAGCAGGGAATCGAGGGACATTCAAATAGAGCGCATTGAAACCACCATAACCATATCTCCTAGTTGAAGGCGGCCCGTGCCTGTTCATGGCAGCCATTTCTTGCTGCCTTTTCACCATCAAACGCTCAAGCCTGTGTGCGTTCTGGTGGCCGCCGAGCGCCTGCCAAGATGTAAAGTTTTTCTTGCAATAGGCGCAGCTGAAAACCCTATTGGCAGGGGGTGGCTCATCGCGGGCACTGTTGTCCGATGAAGAGGACTCCTTGACTTTGTTGGAGCTCAAGGGATCGTCGAGGCACAAGCCAGCATTCACAGGGGTCAGATCGAGCAAGAGATGGGCATCGGCAGCGCCGGGAATCTCACCAGCTTCCTCAACCATCTTCGTTTGGTTCTTGGCAGCTTCATTAGCAAGGACAAGTAGTTTGCATGCAGTGTCACCGTGGTCTGGAGTCGCTGAGACATTGCTTGAGGAATCAGAAGAAGGGCTAGAGTCCACTGTGATCACTGGTGTTTTTCCCGTGGCTTTATCCATTTCTCTTCCTCACTCTTTTTTTCTTCTTTGGTTGTGGGTTTTGCTGGATGATGAGGAAAACCATGAATTATACTCGTATTTATAAGTGGTCGGGTGAATGTAATTGTTTCATGCATGGAAAGAAATCCCAAATGACGATGACGACTTGCTATGCAAGTGAGCGTCTCCCCAGATCTTAGAGTTTGAGCACATCTTCTCATGGCAAAACATTCCATACGAGGTTGTGACCTGTGGCAATTGGACATCAAATGCGTGTACGTCGCCATCAAATGAAACATTTTTCTCCTTTTGATTCAGATATATCCTTCCAAAATTGTCACTTCTTTCTCGTACTTTGCACTTTAGTTCGGCGGCATTTATACCCAAAAGTATCTTAGTTCGATGCTATATTGGGTCGAAAATAGAGATGTTTTTTCCTAAATAAATAACGGAATTTGAACCTTTCTAAGATGTTCTAAGTGCGTTGGAGGCACACGCGACGTCACGCTATTCTATACATTCTTTCTACAAGTATCACTTTGAATGCGATGAAAAGTTGCGGGAAAATTATACAAAAAAGTCATAAATCTATTGCATTTTTACCAATTTAGTCATAAATCTTTTAATTTTACCAATTGAGTTCTAAATCTTTTCACGTTTTACCAATTGAGTCCATCCGGTCAATTTTAGCTGTCAATCGCTGACATGGACGCCAGCCATCCTATATGGCACTGTCGGTACTGACGTGAATAATTTTTAATAATATTTTTTCAATTTCTATTCTTTTCTTCTCCTTTCCTTCTTTTCTTTTTTACTGTGGCCAACGAGAGTCGTTCATCCCTCGCTGGGCCTCATCAACAGCTGGCGTTCACGTTAGCAATTTCCAACCAAAATTAACTAAATGACTCAATTGGCAAAACGTACGAGAAAAGGTTTATGACTAAATTGACACAATTAAAAGGTATATGACTGAATTGGCAAAAGTACAATAGATTTTACCTTTTCAGACAATTTTCCCAAAAGTTGTTGTAGTATTCATTCGAGCGAGAGAGCCAAAAAAGCAAAATCTACTGGATACAATGTTTCTCATATACTTGGCATGCTAGTGTTGGTTAGATAAGTAGATATTTGAATCTCTAAACTTATAAGTAAACAATATCTGACCAAAAAAATAACTTAAAAGTAAACAATAGATTACTATAGTTGGAATCTTCAAAACTTGCTCAGAAAATACCAAAATATAAGCACTTCTCTAAATCGCACTAAAGGACAAGGAGGTTGCTCTTTTTGTCTGGTCAAAATACGATTAGGCATGAGTCAATATAGTCGAATTGACTACCATAAATAATATAATATAATATAGTAAGGCGCCAATCAGTATTTTTGGTCATTCTTTAAATATATTTTGCAGAAAAAGGTACGATATCTTGTTTGTTGCAGTCTGCAGATGACAAGTCATTCAAGCCGTTGCTCTTGAGGGCTCGGTTGTCGCATGAAAGGTACATGAGATGCCACGCAAATCCAATAAGGACCACTCAAATGTTTTTCGCAATTAGCAAATGTTATGCCGCCATAGGAAATTACTATCCTGATGAGATCTCACTCACGTAGTCATGGTATTACGTGATTTTCTGTGTCATGATCGAATTGGAAGAGAAGTGATGATGCGAGTGACAACGTTGGCCAAGTTTAGGACATGAACAGATTTATTTACCTGTCTAAAAGACTCGGAAAGTCTACGGTTGAACCATATGGAAACCCACTGATCCTAGCCTTGAAAATGATTGACCTTTTTAAGGAAACAAATCTATTGGATTATTTTCAGGCTGCCACTTTCCGCGTCGAATTGGGATTTGATCCTGTTGACAGCTTATCATCACCCGCAATGCGTCTGTGTTCGAACAATCAAAACGATATGCCGAGAGAAATGTTAGCTTCAGGGGAAAATATTTGAGATAAGTCGTGTAGTGTGGGTCTTGCGTGATCTAAGAATTATATATCACCTCACTTTGTATGAAATTTTCCTAAGGTCTGCATGTTTTCGCTGCATAATAATGTCTCTCTTTTAACCAAATTTGGCATTTTTTTTTCACTAGAATGCAATGATAGAAAACTGATCGAAGTGATAAGATTTACATAGATATTACCAATAGTTCTTCACGACATCATTTCGCGGAACATTGTTAAATCAAATTTTTTATCTATCATTATTTCTCGTTTTCAAGAACTTGTGCATATTCAGGCCGAACAATAATCACATCTTGGTTACACAAACTGATAATAAGTTTATGAATGTAAAGCCTTGACCGCACATTCTTGGCTCTAGCTCGGGCCAATTAAAACATATACATGTTCTTTTCAGATTACGGCGGGCTTGGGAACAAATTAGGCCCAAACTTCAAGTCAGCTTGGTCCTACATCATTGTCTAGAATGAAGTAGGAATATGGAAAAGAATGGATAATGACACAAATATTCCCTCAACATTGGCTCAATATACAATGTAGTCCATGTACTTTAAATTTGTCTAATGTGGTCCATGAGCTTTAGCTCAATATGCAATGTCGTCTCTAAACTTTAAATTTGTTTGAAGACAACATTGAACATTTTCATATAGTCTAGAGACTAAATTGAACATATACCAAAAGTCCAGGGATCACATTGAACAAATTAAAATTTTAGGGATGTCATTGCACATTAGGCTAAAATTTCAAAATCCCCATTATACATTAAGTCAAAGTTTATTGAGCATTTGCATCATTTACCCAAAAAAAAGAACGAAGAGAGTCCGATGCTACAAAATCCAAATTGACTTGCTTGGTTCATCAAAATTGCCCAAGTGATAACCTAGCCATAAAATCAAGATATTCAAAATATTTGCAATAAGATTAGGTTACAAAGCTTTGCAACAAAGCTTTGCAACCAAACGCATGAAACTACAAAATATTTGGTTTTCTATTTTTGAATAATTCATGTGGGATTTTCTCCAACAATAGTCATAGAAAAACTCAATTTATAATATAACATGCAGTTGCGGGTACCTTTACCCAAAAATATGAAAGGATACCACTTTTAATCAACATGGTTCTTGCCATGTCTTGCAGAGACCCGTTTTTCTTTTCAACAACTCCATTTTGCTGTGAGCGTATGGAGAAGAAAAATTGTGTTTAAAATTATTTTCATCATAGAAATCTAAATAAACTTTCCTTTCTAAATTCTCCCCCGTGATTGGTTTTAATGTAAGAAATAGTGTAACTTTTTCATTTTGAACCTTTTTAGCAAACTTAACAAAGGTTTTAAAAGTTTCATGGTTGTGAGCCAAAAAGCGAACCCAAATAAGTCTAGAATAGTTATCAATAATGACCAAACAATATTTCTTAACATTAAAACTTTTACTTCGAGTAGGTCTAAATAAATCCATGTGAAGTAGCTACAAAACTCAGCTAGTAAAACAGAGTTTATAGATTTAAATGAACTTCTTACATGTTTATCGAGAGAGCATATGCTACACAATTCAGACATTTTATATTTCAACTTAGGCAAGTCTCCAACTAACTCTTTAGAGGATAACCTAGAGATTATGCAGATCTGGCCAAGCAATCTATGCCATAAATCACTTTCTTCTTTGATAGAGACAAGACACTAGATAGAATCGGGCTCTATGTCTAAAAGATAAATATTACTATGTCTTCTTCCTACCAAAGATTGTGATTTGTCTTTGTTTATACCAAAGCACTGGTTTTCCTCAAAGTTGACCTTGAATCCTTTGTCACAAAATTGGATTATACTGATCAAGTTGTAGTTGAGCCATTTGACAAGAGAGACATCTCCAATGACTGAACTTCCCAACTTGATGTTCCTTTTCCAATGATCTTGCCTTTACCACTTCCTCCGAAGTTAAACTTTCATCCGTTGAATCTTGTTAGATGAATGAACTTAGTTGAGTCACCAGTTATGTACTCAAACATCCACTATCAAGATATCATTTGTTTGTTTTCCTTTTTCCTTGCAATAGAGAAAAAAAAATTTCGTTTTTGGTACCCAAACAAGCTTGGATCCTTTCGTATTAGAGGAAGCATCAAATATCCAATTGATACTTTTTTATTTTTCTAATCAAGTAGACATCCGTGATTAGGATTACCACAGCTCGAGCAATTATAATATTGTTGACCAATCATTTTAATAAATTACTTTCCAAAATAATTTTTATAAAACCGATTTGAAGGTCTACCGTGTCTCTCTTTGACCTTTGGAAAATCATTTTTCATTTCACTTTCCTTTTCAAAGCCAAGACCGGATTCGTTGTAATAAGGAATTTGTACGGAAAAGATATGCTCCAATGTTTTTGAACCTATGAAAAAAAATTTGCAAATCTTTGAGATTTCTTCCTTGAAAAAATTTATTTTCTTTTTGCAAAAATCTCTCTTCTTAACAGAAGACATTTCCTTTCCAACTCAACAATCTTTTCTTCTATAAAAACGCCCGGTTGCCTCAATTCGGAAACTTTTTTTTTTCAATTCAGAAATTTTCTTCAAAACCTTTTTAAGCTTATCACATTCAGCTATCACATTGACAAGATTTCAAAGTACATATACACACAAGTAAATGCAAATAAACAGCGCTCAGGTTGAGTAAAAAGATTCTTTACTGAATTAGAGACACCTGCCTGAACTGTCTCCTTGAATATAAAACTATTGGTCAACTATCAATTTCCCGTTAATCTATTTTGTAACTGTGATTACTCAAGCGTATGCACATCAGGGTGGATATCACATGATGATCATTAACCATGTCTAATATTTAGTTTACTCTCTCTCTCTCTCTCTCTCTCTCTAGAAAAGGAATAAATAAATCATTATATTCCGGGAGGCTTCATTGAGTGTTTCTTTAGGTGTTAAACTTCCGTTTGTCCATATTTCTAGAAAAAGTATCTCTCTCTCTCTCTCTCTCTCTCTCTCTCTGAAGTCACATATGTATTAACCTCAGAAATGGTCCTCCAGTGAAACAAGTCTATTGGGAGGAGAAATAGCCCTGCTGTGTTTGTGAAGTGAGGGAAATTGGAGGGGAAGAAAACTGGGGTGACAAAATGAAAATAATTTTAAACCCACGCGAGAAGTGTGGGGAAATAAAAGTTTTTGGTACTTTCTACTCTCATTTTTCCTCTTCTAGGCTTCCCGAACAAAGTTGGTCTTAAAAGACAATGCAAATACTGTCTTTGTGCTTTGAGTGACTGCATTTTGTACGTTGAAGCTTATA